GGGGCATTACGTGATTTGGAGCGGCACAGATTGTCTCACATTGCGCCATCACCAAGACTTTTGTCTAGTGGCTGTAGATAAGAATCGAACTCATATGCTACTTGTACAAGTACCGGTGTTGTTATTTTTTTCACTGTGGCTGAACGTCAAGGGACTCCCTCGTTGTTCCAAATTATTCGGTGTACACTATTGCAGACGTCTTCCATCATACCGGTTGGGGCGGGACCGGTGGCAATTGCGGGTGCGGGTGTGGCGGCCATGAGACCTTCTCCCGCCGCGGACTGTGGGGTACTGTAGAGGGGGGCTTGCGGAGGGGTTTTTTTTTCCTTTTCTTTTGAGGATTGGGTGTTTTGTTTCATTCCGGGTGGGTCTACTTGTGCTACTTGTATTGGTAGGAATGTCGCTTTGTGGAAAAACGGGCACGGTACGGTATGGGAGGCCTCTACCGGTACTCGAGTATTCGTCGGTAGTTTTGTCTGAGTGGTTCGTGTTTGTGTTCTATTTTTATATTGGCTGGGCTTGATGGTTCACCTTCTCCCCCGCTTGCCCCGCCCCATATGTGGTGTACTATTTGTCACGGCCAACTCGTTATTAATTGCTTCACGCGTCTCGGGAATGGGCTCTGGGATCCATACGGGCGGTATCTACCATACCGTGCTGAAGAAGTTTTCATTTCCCGTTTCTTCTTCTAGCTAGGGGTTGACGCAATCGCGGAGGAGGGGGTGGAGGGGAGGGGGGGGGCTTCTTGAGACGTTGCCGAACTGTGGGGTTGGAAGAGGGTTGGCGGTATGATACTGTGCCGATACTTAGCATATACGGTACTGGCAGTCAGGGGCCGTACGTGAGGAGTGGTCGCCATGGAAGGGTTCGCTCTTATCATAACCTTTCTCACTTCCCGGAGGGATAGCGTTTATCCTCATGTCTTCCGTTGGTACCATCACCTCCGATTGGGTTGTGGACATGAAAGCGGTGCATGATCGAGTACCGTACTAGTACATGCCTCATGGATGTAAGTGGAACTTGCCGTGATGAAGAAAATACGTGCGCATTTAAGCTAACTTCGTGCTCAACAGAGTCAGTCATAAGATATCGCCGAGGCGAAGTATTCAGGTGCTCGACAAGTACTGCCGACCCTAGAAGCACACGATGCGCTGGCAGGCCCAAAGTATTAGCAGTACGGCAATCTTATTCCACCGCATCCTCGAGGGGGGTTAAGGCTTCCTCGGGAATGAGTTCCGCATAGGCAGTCACTCGCGAGTTACAAACGAGCAATAAGTTACGCTCCCGACTGAAGAATTTGTATAATAATAATCTGGCTGTGGCCGTACGAGTGCCCGAGTTAAAATCATTCGCGGTCTCCTTTTCACACATCGGATCCTGGGGCAGAAGCGTGGACTGCAGTCGAGCGCGCTTAGCGTAACTTGTCGGAAACTCATGCGGTCCAATCAATTTTTTTGATTTTAGGCAACTACCAATCGCGCGTTGAGGCCAGCAGGATTCTTGCCGCCTAGGTGCTACAGCAATAGTATCAACCCTGCTTATTATCGCTCCTGGCCTTGACAAGTCGCAGAGGATGGATCACAGCAGTCCAAGCCGCGCACGCCTAATGTTAAAACCCGTTTACCCCCCCAACCTTCACAAAACTCTTCAATACTCTGCGGAAAACCATGGACCCTCTATCTGTGGTCTCGGGCATTTCTGGGACCGTGGCAGTTGGGGCCAAGGTGCTTGTGGCCCTGCACGGATTTGCAAAGGGAGTTAAGTCAGCGCCGGAAGAACTGAAGCTCCTCACCCGGGAACTAGAGGACCTCTGCAAAATCATGGATAATTTCCGGAAGAAGACGGGGGGGCATGTGGTGAATCAGGGTATTGAAGACAGTTCGGCGGCTATACTTGATATATTCATGCAGCTCAACCAATTGATAACGGAGCACACGGTTTCCAAGAAGGACGGGTTCCTCAAGAAGGGCTGGAAGCAGGTCAAATGGCATTACATCGAAAAGGACATTGCCGATTTGCGGGTACACCTGAATTCAAACAAGGGGAATTTGCTTGTTGCATTGACACTTGCAAATGAGTGAGTCTGGTCGTCTCCCCGTACAATGGGGATATCCATACTCCAAACAGGTACTAATCGAGGGTGCAATGAATTGGTCAGGCTTCAGAACGGCCACTCAAATATGAAACTAGAGAGGGTTCAGGGGGCGCTCGAGGAAGTCATTGAGAGGCTCCAAGATCACAACACGAAAACCGTGGCTACCTGTGAGAGTTTCACATTGCAAAGATGGCAGGATGTCCCCTCCACGATTGCACCTTCGTCACGTCCGGCAACCCCGAATGGTCAGACTTCTGCCGCTCGTTCGGAGTCTGGGATACTCTCAGAGGCAGGGTTCTCAGAGAGGAGTATTCCGATGAGCGCATATCAGTTCAATGATATGGGGAACAGAGGGAAAGGGGTTTTGGTCTCGGACGGAACGCAGACAAAGGCGTATACGGTGAAGGCCGGCTCGAAAAAGAAAGCATCCAATCCGAAGCCTCCGGAGGCGGGAGTTACCAGAGCAGGGTCTCCTGCAAGCTCTTCCAAACCGCAAACCAGATCCATGAAGCCGACACCACTCTCCAGTATACCGGAACCTGAAGAGGGAGATGCGGTTCTGGAAGCTAAAGACTACGGCAAACTAGAGATGGCTGCGGTCAGTCGAACGGTCAAGAGGGATCCGAGCAAAAGTGAACGTCTTCAGCCAAGCGGAGCACTCCGCGGGGTGCGGCATCGTCTAAAGAATCTCCGCAAGGCCGGGCCAAAGGCCAACACAAGAACAGTCCCGGAGGACTTAGAGCATGGTGGGGTTGTGCATGGACCGCGAGATACCCCTCTGGCTGAAAAAGCGCCGGCGCCGACCCCTAGCGGATCTCCGAAGCTCGCGATGGAGAAATTTCTACAAAATCAGGATTCAGCACCAAAGGACACATCCAACAACCCGATAAACTCTCGGAAGCTGGTGGTGGTAAGGATATCACCACGATCAGACCTCTTCGCGCAGCCGTTCTAACAGGGGGTCTAGAGGAAAGCACACGCCATCTGGCCGCCCCAACATGATGGCGTCCTGAGCGCCGGCAAGCTCGATATCGGTCCACCCCTCTTCCTCGAGCCGATAGAAGGCTCGACCTATTCGCGAGACGACAGCTTCCTTCTGAGCCGCGACCAGTTCGTTCGAGTGATAAGCTACACCGACCCAGGATGGTTTTACGGCCAGGTTTACCCCGGTGGACTGATACTGCAATTCCAGAGGTCCGACTTCCGCATCGCAGTCTCTCCGACGGAGGAGGAGCTCCAGGAGGTTCTAGCTATGCAGGTTAAGGCTTTGATAGGAGAACCAGAAAGGCTGAAGGGGCTGAATGCCGGACTGGGGATTGGTGGCGTTGATGCATCCAAACATACGTTTGGGATGGCTGCAGTTGCCCCGCGAATCCCGGTGGTGGTCACATGATCTAGCGGTATTACGCTCTGCGGGCATGGATTTGAGGTGAACTCGGACATCTCTGGGCAGCAGGGGCTTTTTTTTTGTTCCTTGAGGATGTGGGATAAACGTATATGATGGGGGCTTCGTTTTTTTGGGGGGGATTCATATGGCGTTGGTTCTCTATCATGCCGGTAATAATACTATGGCTCAATTTTTTAGCTTCACTCGAGGCCTAGTCCTCTCTCCCGGCCTACCAGTCCATCCCCCTCCATCATCAGTACAGCAACAACGAAATCGGAGCGAAAACTAGGATATCAATACACAAGAAAGAGAAAAAGAGAAGAGAAAAACCTACAGATAAGTAAGTAAATGATCAGGATAAGATACTATAGAAAGCCCCGCAGAGTCGACAGAATCGAGTGACCTGATATGACGCTATCCCCCCCTCCCTACCTCAACCAGACTCCCATAGCCACATTCCCATACTGACTTTACAAGTAGCACCCCTCCGCTCCGCCCTCGCTGCTCCAGGAAGCTGAGATTTTATACTTTGAAATTCACAATATCACAACCGAGCCAAGCCCAACCCACCAAACCAAAAGCATAAGAGTAAATAGCAAAAGAGAGAAGAAGGTACAGAAAGAATAACTTTCCCCTCCCCGAAAAAAAGGAAAGCCCGATCCCCATTCCTTCCCATTCCAGGCGGCTAAGCCAAGCAATTCGAGTACTGGTAATTCAAGTCACAATCAAGCACACACGGGACATAACTAAATAATAGCCAAGTAGATAAATAAATAAATAAAAGTGGAAAAAAGTGATGAACCCATTACCCTCAGATTACAACTAGATTGAGATGGAGATGGAGACCTAACAAACCGAATGAAGAGAAGTAGAAGGACAAAACCCGATTGCACAGATAAGAGAAGAAGGCAATTGGTATAAGGAGCGTATGGAATGAGCGAATCAAAAAAAGAAAGATATATATCAAAGGAATTGAGCAGAATAGATGCGCGTAGCCAAGCTTCGAGTAGAAGTAGAAGGGGAAGAGATAAAGAGGACCCCAGTTGACCTTGTGCGAAAACCCTGAGGGGGAGAAGAGAAGGTTGAAATGGGAGTGAAAAAAAAAAGGGAGTAGCATAACACAAAAGAAGAGAGAAAGGGAGAAGGAGTTAAAAACAAGAACGACACGGAGTAGAACAGATTCCAGTATTCCCCAATCCCGCAACATACAAAAAAAAGCAGATTGACCAAAGCACAAAGCACAAAGCACAAAGCAATCAAACTGAAGCAAACAAAACCGGAAAAAACAGTTGCGGGACAAAAAAAGGAAGAAATAAATCTCGTGCCAATCACCCCAATTTCACCCTACCGCTACAACGGCGGTGATGACACCGACAAGAACAATCACGACAACTATACTAATCATGGAAACACGTTCGTCACACCAACATCACTTTATCTAACCCGTAGTATTCCACCACTGCCCGCCCTGCTGCTGCTGTGGTGGCTGCGAGCGGTAATTCTGCGGGGGCGGCGGGTTGCCCAAATAATGCTGCGGGGTAGGGTTGGAATACAGCGGGGGCTGCGACTGTCCACCGTGCTGCACATGCATAGCCGGGATCGACTGCGGGTGCGGCTGGGGGTGGTGTTGCTGTGGGTGATGTTGCGGGTGCCCCGTTTGTTGCTGCGGGCCCGGAGATTGGAAGTACTGGGGGGGGATGTAGGTAGCATTTGGATGGTTGTGTAGCTGCTCCGGTTTGATGCTCTGGGAGGTTCGTGGAGACTGTTGGGGAATTATTTGATGCTGCTGAGCCTGCTGTTGCTGTTGCTGAGCCTGCTGCTGCTGTTGAGCCTGGGCCTGGGCCTGCTGCTGTTGCTGTTGCTGGTGGTGCAGGGTTGACAGTTGCTGCGGGTTCATCATGTGTGTCGTATGGATTTGGGGGTGCTGCGGGATTGGGTTATGCTGAGAAGGATGTGGCAGCGGAGGGTTCGTAGGCTGCTGCTGCTGCTGCTGCTGTTGCTGCTGGGGACTTGGCATCGGCTGCTGCTGCTGACCGGGTTGATTGTTAACTGGAGGAGATCTGGGTTTATTATAGTAATTGCCGAACATCTCCTTCCTCACGCCACTAGTGGTTCGAAGAACCTTATTATAATCTGCAGTACTATGCACCTGCTCCATGAGTTGTGCGGGAGCGGCACTGACAGCACGGTCCTGGTAGGGGGGTCCAGTAATCTCTTGCTTGGGGCGAGGCACCGAATAGATTTCTTTTAATCTATCCTGACCCTCCGGCGCGAGATGGATCATTGGCAGAGGTGCAAGGGGAACCGGGGCTGGCCCGCCAAGACCTGGTTGGACCATCTGAGGTTGTGGCTGTTGGTCGAGTTGCACAGCATCATGAGGGTAGATTGGTTCATGGTGCTGCTGTTGCTGTTGAGCCGCGGCCGCCTGCTGCTGTTGCTGCTGCTGCTGTTGTTGCTGCTGCTGCTGGGCGGCTTGCTCACTGGCTTGTGCGGCTCTTTGCTTTGCTGCACCAGGCCTCTTCTCACCAGCCGGATCTTCCTCTGTGAAACCCTGTTTCCTAGCCTTGGTTTCCCAATAATCATCCCGCACCCTTCGCCCATTCACAATGACCCTACTACCAAACTGCCGGAACATACTCTTCGCAGTAACAATAGCAATTTGCCGTGAGCGGTATGAATATGGAAGGAGCTCTTGCTGGATGAGGTCATCCTTCTCGGCTTGGGTAGCAATGATCTTATAGAGCGACCTATTCTTGTTGAAAAGAAGGTACGAATCTCTATATCCGAGAACCCTTGCACATTCGGTGGCCAACATGAAGAGCTTGTCTCCACGGTTGGGAACATTGAAAGTTCGGCACTTGTATTCCCTACCATTGCACAAGTGCCCGGTCGGGAGCACTTTCTTGTCACCCTCATCATCAGTCTCGCGTGGCACATACTCATCACCCTCTGGTGTGAGTTGGTCCGTGGTGTGGTCACGCACGGTTGGTAATGCCTTTACCACAGGTTTAGCAGGGGGTGGCTTAGGGGGAGTAGGCAGCGATCCTGGTTGCTGAGCGGGAGGCTGAATCTGCTGTAACTGAGGGGTACTGACAGCCTGTGGCGGCAGCTGTTGGTGCTGCTGTTGGGGAGTAGTCGCAAGATTCGGACTCTGAGGGACACCAGGGCCCTTGTTCTTTGGTGGCCTTCCTCTCTTTCTTCGTTGAGGCGGTTCACCCGCTGCACCTGTTGCGACAGATAGTTAGTTTTTGCTTTTCCTCTTTTGGCTTTTCATGTGCATTCTCATGAGCCGCTCTCGCGACCGCGCATAATAACATGTCGCGTAATTCACTGATTACCGCATTTTTTTTTTAAGTCACCCAAACGAATAACGGGTAAAAAAAAAAAAAAAGGAAAGGAAGAAAGAAAGAAAAAAAAAAAACCTATTCGCGTACCTGTGCCTAGGTCATCCCCAGCAATAGCACCATCTCGATAGGGTTCAACAGGTGATCGACTCCGTTTTACACCTCGAGGGCTACTATTAGCCAGCGCGCTAACACCGGGTTTCGAATCATTATCAAACTCGGTCGTATTAGAGGTCGGTGGCGAGTAAGGGGGAATGTGGGATCCCGACGAGAGATGCGATGAGAATGCAGTGGGATTCAAAGTAGCCGGGTCAATAGTCCCAGAGCCATCGAGCACACCGCCGTTATTCAGCATGGGCGACTGACCCGCCGGGGAAAACATGCTTGGGTAGGCCGCGGATGGCATGCAGAGAGGGGTAGGGGGGGTGAGTGGGAGGGGTGAACTCTGGGGCACGAGGGTTGAGCTCGGATTGGAGTAAAAGTTTGACGTGAAAAACGGGTGAGTAACCGATCTAACACGAGCCGACCGACGACGACTTCAGACAAACAAAGCAACCACAACTGATGGCGGCAACGGCACACCAACGATAGGCGGCGTCGGGGTGTCAGAGGGGGTGGGTTGGGTCCGGCGGCGAGCGCTGGCGAGGAGCGGCAGAAGCAGGCAAGCAACTCAACGGCCGCTGTCAGTTCGGGGTACGGAGGGTGGGTGGGGAGGGGTGAAAGTTGTGGTGGTGCGGAAGCAGTGCACTGACTGGTTCGCTGGAGGATTGTTATGTGGGTGTTGACGCGAAGTGGGCTACTGGGGTTATGGTGCGTGCGGATGCGGAGGGAGGGGAGGGTGGTGGTGGAAGGGAGATGGTGGTGAGGTGTGTGTCTGTGTGTCTGTGGTTGTGGATGGAGGTAGGTGGGTGTTGGGAGGGTGTGTGTGGTATTTGGAGGGTAGGGGTGGGCGTGCTTGTGTGCTTGGTGCTTTTCGGGGAAGGGGTGGGGAGGGAGTGGAAGGGCGGTAGGTAGCGGAAAGGGAGGGGGAATGGTGCAGAGCTGCTCTTAGGGCAAGTTATGGATCTGATTGACAGGAGCGTCGAGATTGGTTGGAAGGGGCAGGTGGTTTCTTTTCATCTGTTTGCTGCTAGGCGGGTGGTTTCTTGCTTACGGGGGGGGCTGGAGTCCATTGGTTAGCGCGTGTAAAAGTGGTGTGGATAAGTTGTGTATGAGTGATTGGAGTGGTGTGGGTGGATTGATTGGGAACAGATGGGTGGGCTGCACCGCACAACGGCCGCGGTGAGAGGAACCAGCGAGAGAGAGAGAGAGAGAAAAAACAAAAAAACAAGAGGGACGGTGTGCACCTCTTGGTAGCAATCGGGGTAAGGCAGAGCCAGATGGAAAAACAAAAACAAATAACGACGATAAATAAAAACCGAAACCGGTGCGGATGACTGTATGGACGGCGGAGGGGGGATACTCGAGTACAGGCGAGAAGAGCAAAAAAGGGTGGCAAAAGGAAAAAACGCAGCAAGAAAAAGGAAAGAAAAGAAAAGAAAAAATGATAAGAGACTTATGGTGTGCGTAAGATATGATGCGTGTCTCTTGGGAGAGAAAAGAGGTGATGCGTATCACCTGCGTGCACTCTGGGGGGGGTGGTCACTCAATTTCACGGAGTCGAGGGACTGGACAAAGAGAGGGAGGGGCGGTGATGTGATGTGAGGTGAGGTGAGGGGGGGGGGATGGTAGGGAAAGGGAAGTGTGAGGGAGGGGAGGGACAGAAACAGCACGAGAAGAGCGGTGGATGTATGGGCGATGATGTCGGAGGAAACTCGCTTTCCCTTCCTCCTGGTCTCTCTTTTTCTTGGGCTTTCTGGGAATGGAAAAATGCGTGTGTGCTCTGTCTCTCTCTCTCTCCCTCTCTATGTGCAGGGGACCACTGCAGAGTGGCGCTAAACGAAGGTTTCGATAGGGGGCCGGACGCGAGCAAGCCTGGCTCGGAAGCTCTGAAAGGGCAGAACAGAGAGAAGGGCAAACACGAATGGAAAACCGGAAATGGAGGGGTTACCTTGCTGGCAACTCAACACCACTGGATGGTCGCCCCGGACAATATTGATCGCTGGTGCTTCTCCCAGGGAACTGGCCACTGCGAGGTCAGAGCAGGCCAAAAAAAAAAAAGGAATAAAGGAATAAAAAAATAAAAATCTCAAAAGGGTGTGATGGGGGTTTGGAGGAAGGATGGAGGGGAATGGAGGGGGAGGGGAAGCGGAGGGAGGGGGGGGGTGAGAGGGAAAATATGGAGGGGGATGGACGAGTCGGTCGCTCCCTGAGCTGCAGTAATAATGGTTGAGGAAGGATTGACTGAGTGAGAGGGAGAACCAAGGAGAGTCAATAAAACAAAACTACGAGTACAGTAAGAAGGGTAATGGAGCCATGATCGGGAGCAGGAAAGTGACTGAGTCTGAGATAGGCACCGGTAAAGGCGTGAGCAATGGGCAAAAGGGTGTGTGCCTCAGTGCCTGTCCGCCTGAAGTGAGAGCTCCCTGCACTCGCAATGCCTGTGTGTTTGTGGCGGAACCGCTATGGCTTGATCACGGAGAGTCCATGAGGATTACTCGCGATGTCGAACCAAAAGATAAAAATAAAAAGGGCAACCAAGCCGATTCGAGAACAAAAGAACATATGATGATATAAACATCGATTTTATTTCCCCTACTGTAAAACAAGAACAAAGAAGAAAAAAAGGTGATTGTACTGTACCGAGAATTATATGATATCCAAGGGGAAGAAAAAAAAAAAATCGGGTACCGATAAACCAACCACCAAGGGGGAAGCACGGACGATGGAACGTTTTTCTTGGGTGGTGTGCGTAGGGGGAAGGGAGAGGTTGTCGGTGGATCAAATGAAACGAAACGGGAGGGGTGGGTGAGCCTGCGTATATAAAATCCGGAAACTTGTCATCAGCTTCGGCATGAGCTCGTCAAAGCTCTGGAGCTGAAATTTCCCACGCGAGAAGAGGTCGTTAAAGCAGGGATCTTGATGGGAAATTGTAACATGAGGAAGTGAGAGATTGGAAGGCAATCCAGAGGCACAGACTTCCCTTTTTCCTGTTGTAAAATAATAAGAATAATAAGAATAATAATAAGAATAGCAAGGTCAACCTCAGGAATTATCAAAAACCTACAACGACAGCACGCTCTCGAGGGATGGGATGCCGATATCGACTGGACTGGACTGTTGTTCGTTCACCATCGGTTGTCCTCGAAGGTGAGTGAAATATTCTCGGGTACTCTGGCTAGATTATCAAGCACCACCCTCTTCCCAAGTTACGACATGCGGGGCATAGGCAAGGAGAAAGGTTTATTCGAGATGGATGCCACAAGACGAGCGCGCACAGTACGCCAACCCAGCCAAAGCAAGCCGGGTGCCGTCCCAGAGAGGAAAGCGAGCCCGCGATAACGGCCTTCACTTTCTGCGCTATCCTATCCTACGCCTCTATTCTCCCCGCATCACCTCCCTTCCTTTTCCTTTCTCTCTCTCTCTCTCTCTCACCTCCCTCCTCCCTCCTCCCTCCTCCTCACCAAAAATCTCTTTTCAATCTCTTGCGCTCGAGCTCGACCACCGAATGGGGAGACAGGGGAGAAAAAACTTCAAAACTCGTTCATGGAAAAAAAAGAGCCCTTTGTTCTCAAATCTCAAAACGCATTAAAAGACGCAAGGGGTGCTTACTTTTTTCACATGATTTGACTGCCGAATTCTACCCGTATCGATACGCTACTGGCGTGTCGGAGGGACCAGGGTGGCGCAAGAAACTAACTGTCTTGTCTGGTCATCCGGAAGTCCACAATGACACATCTCACCGGAAACGACCAAGCGGACCTGCACCAACAGAACGAAAAAGAAGGCCGAAACCGCACCAAACGCCAAATCAAAGAATGGGAATACCAAGAGAAAGGTTTTTTGTTTTTATTTGTTTATTTTCAAATATATAGTGTAAACCATTGCCCGACAGTACTCTCGGTACCGGCCGGTGGTGGTATGATAACAGCAGAGCTTCCTCAAAGCCCTCTCCTTATCCAAAGGAAAGGGATAGGCGAAGGGCCAGGAGCTAGGAGAGTAAGACTGGTATTATACAGTTGGAATATCGAAGGAAAAAAAGGGCCAAAGGGACTTTACCCGGATACAATACGTGCTGTACGTACGTAATCGGTATGCTCTCCTCCGTCTAGCCGGTGGCTCTGTCAGCCTTAAGGAATCTCTGCGCTGCTGCAGCAGCAGTCTGTATCATAGGTAGACTATACAGTACGGTACATGGCTCGAGAATTCCGATCGAGGAACGAACCCAAACGGAAAACGCCATCCTGGGCGAAGAGTAATCAAAGAAGGGAAAGAAGGGGAAGGGGGGGGGGGGGGTCAGAAGCGCATCACAAACTATATATAATACTCGTAGACAAAACGACCAAGCATAATCCCCAAAAACAATACGAACGTATCAAACGGATGCAACGGCAGTTCGAGCGAATGACATGCGGCCCTCGTTGAGTTTGGTTAGCTGCTGAAAAGCTCCTTTCCTCGTGTCGTATGGGAGGAAAGGGAAAACACCTACCCGTAACATCGCCATCGTCATACAGTTGCAGTACTCGTACCCGTAAGTCGGCCGTGGTGCTGTACGAGTACAGTGCCGGTACTCGCACAGCTGGTGAGGTAGGAGGGAGTTAGCTGTTATGCATCAGGGCTATCCCCCTGCCCCACCTCGCAATGTTCCCTGCACAACTTCGCATGCCGCAGCATGCACGGATCTGACAGGCTTTTCCCAAGAAACCGTTCCCTCGCAATACCCACTTTTCCCCATGTCGTTGTGACTCCCCCCGTACTTTTTTGTACTCGAGTGCACCCTTCCTCCCATCATCAGATGGATCAATCACTCAATCAATCAATCCAGCCAACTTAGCCTCTCGGATCTTCTTCAAAAAGTGAGCTAGATTTGCCATGTGGCTTATTAACGAGCCATCAATCGTGAGGTATGCACCGTATCAAGGAAAAGAAAAAAAAAAGGTTACCTTGAAATTCATATCATCGTATCGGATGGTGCAGAAGCCGCTGTATCGAAAACTCCACCACACCCCTCTCTCCCCCCCGGGCGGGTAATAATAAAGTTAGTGGGTAATTGAGTGTCACAAAAACCGATGGATGGTTATCTCGGTACGGTACGGTATTGTTAACGCCGTCTGCAAGACGAGAACCAAAGCTCGGATCCATATGTACGAGTAACTTGTAAGGGATACGGGTACGGTACCGTAGGGTAGGGGAGGTGGAGTGTGCCCGCGGAGCGGAGCTTGCAAGAGAGGAGAAGGGGGAGGGAGGGATGTTAATCAGTCTGAAACATTAGGTATTGTGCGGTACGTATGATAGAAAAAAACTCGA